AGGAGACTGACAAAAATTCTCAGCATAGCTGGGCTGTTTTGTTGCACTCCTGCTGATCAGATAAAGCTTTTTAGACCTTGCAGGAGCCATTAGGAAAAAAAAATACATGAATACTGGTATTTCCGTATTACCCTTGCTACAGCTTGCTTTGGCAAGTTTTGACAGGCCTGTTGTTAAGATTTGGACTGTATGGAAGTGTGGCAGGAGAAGCATAGGTAAATGTCCTGTTAGCAAACATGCTTTCTCTCATTTCTGTTGCAAAGGAAGATTAGGTATGCAATGTTTTAGTCAATGCAGTTTTATGTACAGAAAAAGGAAATAGACTTCAAAATGACCTCTCGTGCAGTTTCTATCTATCTCTCTGGAGTTTGTTGGTTTTATTGAAAGGGACATCCAATTATGTTGTGGATCTAGATTGCCTAGTTTAGCTGTCATGAGTAGAACACGACAGGTTATGTATGTTTGCTTCCTTTTGATGATGATAAAAAGTTAACTTCAGTGGTGTTTGTCAGCTCTTAAAATACTGTCAATGAACTCTGTGTCATAAAAACTGTTCCAAAGTATCTCTTTAAAGTATATAAAAACCCAAAGTGAAAACCTCAAAAAATGCCCATGATCTGGTCTCACTCTTTTTTTTTTTTTTGGCCCAGAATTGTTTTCATGTAATTGGCAGAACTTGGAAATCACTTAGTTCATATGACAAAATGTAACCTCTTCCCAAAGTTTAATGTTAATGGACTTCTAATAGGGGAAATGATTGCAACATGCATAGTAATACTGTAGTTTTGCAAGTCATACCCACGTGCTCGACTTCACTAGCACGAGTAATTACATGAAAATCAACAGGGTGATGATGATGATGGCATTAAGCTTGGTGTAAGTTTTATAACATCAGAACCTCAGGTAGCTTTCAGGTACGCATTGGGTGAAGGCCCACATCATTCGTTAGTTCATTCTGAACTCATCCTTTGGCAGTCACAGGCCATTAAAAAATTGATTTTTTGACAGGGCTTATGGCAGGTCAAAAGACAGTTAATTAGATGATATAGGGTGTAATAGCATATTTTAAGTTCATTGTAGCGGGAAGTGGATTTTAATTTGTTTTATTTACATTTCTAAAGTGTATATGACTTTTTTTTAATTATTCCCATAATGCCAAATGCCTTCCAGATAAAAAAGAAGAAAAGGTCTTTGCTCTGACATGTCATTAAGCTGAATTCATGTGTGTGTTGTCATTGTGTCTCAGACTTACCTAGTGCCCTCTCTTGTAGCCTGACACTGTGATTAAGTCCTTAAGCCCTTTGCCTTTATTGTTTACATACTGTTTGCTCCAGAGCAGGAGGTTTACAACCAGGTGGTGAAACACTGGCACAGATTGCCCAGAGAGGTGGTAGATGCCCCATCCCTGGAAACAGTCAAGGTCAGGTTGGACGGGGCTCTGAGCAACCTGATCTAGTTGAAGGTGTCCCTGCTTATTGCAGGGGGGTTGGACTAGATGACCTCTAAAGGTCCCTTCCAAACTATTCTGTGATTCTATGACATATTCCATCTCTGTGTTAAATAAGTTCATGTGCAGCATGATTGAAGGGTAGACCAGTTAGGGCAAGTTATTGCTTCCTCCCCCTACAATCTTTTTTTTGTGTTGTTTATATGGAAATATCAGGTTGGACAACATAAACAAAACCAGATGTTTGTGTATGTTAAGAACAAGGTATTAAAAAAAAACCCAAACCACTAACTGGGTCATGTAGAAGAGAAGCTGAGACTAAGCTCCTATAACTTGATTCTTAAGATAATGTACACTAAGACAGATACGTATTTCTCAAATAATGAATGGCATTTATGTACTGATTACTGATTTTTCATTTTGTCATCTGATGATACCTCTAAAGCAAGAATTAAATAACAAATTTGTTCTCCAGCCAGAAGTCAGAATTGGAGGTCTGTGCTCTGTCCTCTTAACAGCTTTCTTACTGCACTGCAGAAACGAGTCCCCAGACTTTCAGACTGAGGTACCTCAAGGCTCCTTCTAGTTTCTCCTTAGACAGCTACACAGCAATAGCTTTTTTTTTTCTTTTCAATTTAGCTCAATAATATTTCTGAGAGAGAGCTGTGGAACTCTTATTGGAGTGAAACCACTTCCTGCATTTGTAAGAGAGATTAATTTTAATTTGACTGCTGAAGTGTGCTGTTCAGGACTAAACCCACAGTTTTAATCACTATGTATTTGTCTAGCTTTCAGTCACTCTCTACTAATACTGGCCTTAAGGTGACTTGTCAAACTAATTCCTTTGTTAAATAGGAGTTTACTTTTCCTGTGACCGTTTCATTCCTTTGCTTTGGGAAACAAAACCTTGGGGGTCAAAAAAAAAAAGGCTCAGAGTCTAGGCAAAAAATCCTGAAAATCTGTGTTCAGGACTATGCCAGCTTGTTACTGCACCTGATGTGTCAAGTCTAAGGCTTTCTTTTGAAAATCAAACATCTAAATTACTGTTTTCTTTCTTATTTTTTAATGCAATATGGTGTTACTGTGAGCTAAATATTGTTGTCAGGCATGAGTCTTTAATTATGTCAGCTTTATTTTGAGCTGGCAAACCATCTTAATAAGATTATCAAATAATGCAATGAAGGTTAACCTGTTTGCTTGGGGGCGGGACTGAGTCTTCAAAATACTTAAGTCTGTGTGAATGTATGAATATGTAAGCATCCTTACAGAAGTTGTCAAAAACTGGGGAAAAGATACGGATTTACTAGTAGATATAGATATATCTGAACTTAGACCACCAGATTGTTTGGGTAATCACTGTTTCTGAAAATTATATAGCTTGCCTCCCTAAGTATCAGGAGTCATAAGGCTAAATTATAGCTGTGGTTAAAACACAAAGTAATTACAATGTGGTATGTGAATTTTGTGAATGAGTAGGACAATTTTTGTTTGTTTTGGTTTTGGTTTTTTTCCCAAAGTAAATGAGATCCACATGTGTGCATTTTAATCTCGATTTTTCTGTTCTGTGTGTTGTATGTATAAATATAAGACTGAGATGCCTTACCATTAATCTGTGTGACTTTCTTCAGATTCATAGAACATCTTAAACTCTCTCACTTGCCAATGTACTAAATGGTAAAAGGAGAAATACAAGAAAATACCTAATTCTCCTAGTTTATTTATACCAGTTATGTTAGAAAACAAATATTGTAAATGGTCTGGTTCATCCACATCTGTGCAGCTAGAAACTTTGCACTCCTGGCTTTTCACTCATCACTTCTGTGCTTGGATTTAATTAATCATCCTGTTTATTAATAACCTTAACCTTTGGCTGTGAGAGACTAATTGTCCTCTTACGAATTTGGTCCTCTTGAAATAACAACTAGAAAGCAAACTATCATCTCCTTCCTGTCTAGGTAGGGGCAATAGCATCTCAATTTAGGTCAGCGTTATGCAAAATAGAGTTGTCTCCCTGTACGTGACAGAACTTAGCCATAAAAGTTTTGAGAGAATTTTAAGGTCCGAGGTACTTTTGCAATCCTCTCACTACGTTTTCTGTGAAATTTATCCATTTTGTATGGGCAACAGTATAACTTTTTAACAATTAAACACAAAAATAGCTTTGGTATGAAGTTTTTTGGCAGAAAACATAATTAACAGTGAATATTTTCTCCCTTTCTCTGAATTCAAATGAAAAAATGCACTCTATTTTTGGCAAAGAAACAAGAATAATCCTTATATGTTGAAATAGGAGGCTGAGCCCTTCTGTTTAGGTATATGCAATTCAGTGTTTTTGGTAGCAAAATTATTGTATCCATTTTTGTAGAAGGTGGGTCTTTATGTAAAGATTGTATTGGTTTTGAGTGTTTAGAGCATTGTGCAAATACCCTCTTGAGAAGTTTCTTTGGAGGAAGTTGCTGGCTGTATAAAGAGCTGCTTTCAAGGCGTAGCCCTCCGTGTGTGCTCCAACGTTGAGTGGTGTACGTTCCCAGTGCAGGCTGATTGATCCCCTGCCAAAGTCTCATGAGCACCTTTTTTAATGCCTCCGTTTGGTGGGAGTTACATTGAAACTACAGTAAGCACCGGGCATACGTACAGTTTCGGGCGCCCGGATGGACCCTTACCCTCTGGGTAGAGAAGGTGCCTGCGGAGATGGAGAGGACGAGGCAGTGGCAGCAAATGTCATGTTAGTGCCCTTATTACAGTGGAGTGGAGTTAGCTAGAAGTGCTAAAGGGGAGGTAAAACAAATGCTGTTGAGGGATGGAGCAAAAGTGGTGGGATAAGCATGGCAAAGCAGAAGACTTACAAGGGATGTAAGGCCAAAGGAGGAGGTCAGAGTGGGAGACAGCTGAAGAGCATTCTCCAGGCAAGACTAGAAATTCCTGTCAAAATCTTTGCCTGGGTTGCTTTTTCAGCAGTTCCTGCTACTGTAACTTCGTAGTGGTTTGGTGACTGGCAGCTTTTACCCAAAGCTGCCAGTCAGTGGATAAGGAGAAAGGAAACCTCTTTTACTTGCTAAGCTTCTGAGTCTCTCGGAAAGAAAGACCCTTCCCCAGGTCTGAGGCAGCAAAAAGGGACGCTGCCAGCTGTGCCAGGTCTTTCCTTTTTTCCTCGCATGACAGTGTCCATTTCTTGCTTCAGTTCCTGCCGTGGCAGCTCCTGCTGGCACCTACCTGATCACTTTCTCCTCATTAAAATGCTTGGTGCCTTTTGTCTGGGGGGGGGAGGAGGCGTGGCACACAGGTGGATTTGATGTGTAATTAAGCAGATCTTAAAAGCACTTAGAGAGTCTTCTGAGTAAGAGTTGTTCTGATAAACTCAAGAGTCTGGTTTCCAAATGCATTATTCCACGTTTTACTTATTTACATTTTCTCTTTTTCAACTCGCTTTCTGCAATTTGGAATTTCCCACGTGATCCCCATGCCATTATGTGAACGGAGGTCTACGTGTCTTGCAAAGCAATGAACACTGTTTCTGACTCTCTTTCAGATGCAAGTATGGACATAATAGCCTATGATGATTACGCCAGTCCACCGCTTCAGAGATATTGAAAGGAAACCTGAATACCTCCAGCCAGAAAAGTGTGTTCCACCTCCTAGCCACGCTTCCCTGGGAACAATGTGGTTTATTCGAGATGGCTGTGGTATTGCATGTGCTGTCGTTACCTGGATGCTGGTGTTCTATGCCGACTTTGTAGTCCTTCTTGTCATGCTAGTTCCATCGAGAGATTATGTTTATAGTGTCATCAATGGCACACTGTTCAACACATTGGCTTTCCTCGCTTTGGCTTCACATTTTCGTGCTATGCTGACAGATCCAGTAAGTATATCTCTCTCTGTATGTCTCGGAAAGAAGCAGGCAGTGTTTTTCTTGTCTGCTAGATGTTGGGTAACTCAGTTGCTGAGTGAGTGGCAGATTTAAATAACTTTTGTGTGTCAGGCTGCTGATGTAGTATGAAAATTTCTCATCCCACTCAAGTCAGATGCAAAGTCAAGGACCCAGCTTTAGATTCCCATTGTGTGAGCAGCTCCTGTTTTTGCACCAGGAAGGAGAGCGTTTCTCTCTGGTGCTGTTTTCTCCCCAATGGCAGATCTCATGTTTGTGGCTTGTTGTGTCTTGACAAACAGGAAAGCTGGAAAAGCTGGTTTTGGTTGTCTGCCTTGGCAAGTACTACTTGAGCAGAATGGAACAGAACGTGTGGGGTGTTTTGGCTTTTTTTTTGAAAAGCCATGTTACCATCTCTCATACTAGTGATTTAGTTGAGTTTATTGAACCATGCTGAAAGAAATACTCTGTGAGCGTGCTAAGAGCTGACAGTTCTTAGGCAGGCGGGAAGCGTCAGAGTTGTAAGACCCCGTTGTATGTCTCTGTAGGACATTGCTTTATGAGAGATCTGATCTGCTGCTTTCTTGTCTTTCAACTGGTGAGAAGATACAGTTTAGTGCCATGATGCTTATTCTGAGTGGCCTGTGATAGTTTATACTGAAAAGATTCAGTTCAAAACTCCATCTCCACTAGTCAGTGGAAGGCAAAACAAACTTTGGCTCTCCTTGGCCCCTTCCTCTTAAGTGTTCTTCTTGCTGTTGGGAATGGTGGTGTGCCTCTGATACTCTGTTCCTCCCAAGTGCAATTTCCTACTTGAAACCTTATTAGGTGCCATTAAAACTTCCGTGTAACTTCTGTTTCTTAGTTTCTAGCTCTCCCAGAAGCTGCAGTACTGCAGAAATGGCTGGGTTTGGGGTAGTTTCACAGTTTATGGTAAAGACTGATGCATTGCATACTACTGCTGCTGGGCAGAACTGTAAGCAGTAGCTGAGGCTCTGAAACTTCTGGTCAGTGGACTTGGGAATACAAATTTGCAGCAATATGTTGTATAGTTGATATCCTAGGGGCTTTCGTTGTTGTTAGTTATTGTATGTTGTGTGGCTTTAATGCCTAGGGACCTTTAGGTCGCTGAAATTATTTTGCAGAGTTAGCAGGAACTCTTTTGAAACAAAAGCTGTTTTCTGAAGCAGACTGGGCAGGCAGTGTTGGAGAAACAAGATGCAATCCCTATGCAGAGTAATTGGGAAAAGATATGTTGATTCCTGGTGTGTGGTGGGATTTTTGTGTGTGGATGGAGAGAGCCAGTGCAATTTTGTGTTATTCTTTGTAGAGCTTTTTATGAGGAAATCAGCTAAACAAAATGGAGGAGGGAAAATAAAAGTAAGGGGATGCAGCAACATCTGGCAGACAGCGTGAGTCAAGGGTGAAGGAAGCTGTTGGGACACGGAGAACCAGGGGCACGTCTAGGATCAGAATGAAACAGAAAGCACTTCTAAGGCAAACAAATAGGAATTCTTACTATAAATGAACACCTGACTCCTTCAGACTTCATAGTGTGTGTCATGCTTTTCAGGAACTGCTTCCTGGGGGTTCTTGCTAAAAACATTCCTAAGGTTTTGAGCTTTGCTGTGTACTAAAGAGAGAGAACATCAGGTGTAGCATTTTGTGGAAATTGGTCTTGGTAATTTTTAAATTGGTCAGGCCTCTTGGGAGGTGACTCTGGGAAAATCCCAAAGGCTGCTCAAGAAAGCCTTATAGTACTGGCTTAACATGCAGTTCTGTCATTGATGTGTATTGTTCCTGTTTACTGCTGTTGGGAGGTTGTATAGATGTATTAAAAAGAGACTGTTCCATCAGAAATCTGTTAAAATATTACATCCCTGTTTTTATTTCAGTATAAAAGCTTTAGATCTACAGAGGTGCATTTGTGCCAGTGTACCAGCACCGATTTCATACAGTACATTTAATGACTTTTTTTTTCTTTTTTTTTCCTTTGGAGCCCTACAAAGGCTGGAAACTCTTGAAAACTCAGGCTCCTGCAGCAGCAGTGTGTTACCTATTTAAAGACACATATTTTAAAGTGGGTATTGCACAGCTAAGAATGTTTTGCCTAGTCTTCCTCAGGTGGGAGGATTCTTAGTGTTCACTGTTTGAATGTTAAACCCTACTTTAAATAACAAATACAAAATGGAAGCATAGCTATGAATACGAGGCGTTTACAAGCAACTCTTAACGTGCATAATGATACGTCAGAAGTAGCTGCTTATACTGGAATAAAACATCTGCGGTTTCCAGTTTGTGATATGAAACACTGGCATGATAAATTTGCTGACAGATGTGGAGAGATGAGGAATCTTAAATATTTTAAGGTTACTATAGGACTACAAAAGACTAATTGCTTAAGTGAGGATTTGCTGATGTTTTAAAAAAAACACACCACCAAAATTATGTTTAAGTATGTGGTTCCATATATTAAGACCTTGTTTTAATTTCTTTTCTGAATCTTCTTGCTCTTCCTCAAACACTGTTGATCTTAGGGAAGTTTTTATTTCTTTCTCTTCCCTCACCTCCCAGAGTTTTAAGTCATCCTATTGTTCTTAGCACTGTAATTGTCCACAGGTTTATCTTCTGGTTTGTTTGGGGTTTTCTTTCTGCAGGGTGCTGTACCCAAAGGTAATGCCACAAAGGAATTCATCGAGAGTTTACAGCTAAAGCCAGGACAGGTGGTTTACAAGTGCCCAAAGTGTTGTAGCATCAAACCTGACAGAGCACATCACTGCAGGTAAAGTCTTTTCTGAGGATTGTTCATTTATCAAGACCCCAAGAACTATCCAGTGTGCCTTGATCTAAATTGTTACTGGAGTCTGAGGCTGCAGGGGTTAAATTGAGAGATTGGCATCTGAATTTTGTTGCTGATAGTGCCAGACACGTTCAAGCCTCTCTGAAAAAAATTTCAGGCTTTTTCTGACAAGTTTTCACCTATAACAGACTGGGCCACTTCTTGAAAAGTGAGAAACACTTAAAGTGAATGCTGTCTTGACATCAGACCTGTAATTGACATTCCATAAATTTTCATGTAAGCATGACTTAAAAAGAGATGTTATATACCAGAATGCATAGAAATCCATAAAATGTCATGTCTCTCAAAAGGTTGGTGTCCTTTCTGTTTTTGTTTTTATTCACAGATCCATTTGTCTTAACTGTAGATTCTATTTAGAAGTGATATTTAAGTTAAAGCTGAAGTTCAGGTAACTATATATTCTTTGAGAGTTCCAACTTCCACATGTCCATTGAATACTGTGACTTTGTTTTGTGCTTTGTGATAGATCAGTGTGCCTACTGATCTGTCATGTCCTTTCTTTCTCTGGTAGGATAAATTCCCCTGAAGAGAAAAACTGGTAGTGAGCTTTTTAGTACTAAAGGCAGTAAATAGCTGCTTCCTAAAATTCTCGTCTGCTTTTCAAGCAAATGAACCTGCTTTCCAGTAAGTGGTTAATGAGTTTGCACTGGTGTCCCTTCCTTACCTACTCAAAACCCAATCCGTACTGAGGGAGTTTGTATCAGGGTTACCACTGATTCATGCAGGGGTCTTGTGGAGAGGGGAATATGTGGTACTGAGCTGAACAGGCTTGTTCTGCTGTTTGCATTTTTCATATTTATTTTCAGAGCTTTAGTTTGCAAATGTTTTTCTTTCTTTGTTGGTTTTTTATTTTAATC